GATCTCTCTCTCTCTCTCTCTTTCAACCGCATTCAGAACTGCCATTTTTTCACATTGCCGGAATTTTACATATCTCCATTTTACAGTCACAATTCTTCCCAGTCAATTCATTTCCCTGTCAAGTAAACCCCCAACAATTTCTCCAACTCCTCACTAATTAATTCTTATAGCAATTACTGATTAGGAGAAATTATTATCAATTCTTCAGCTCTGCAGATCTCATCAATGGCGTCAATTTCTCGAACCCTCGCTCTAGTCCTCTTCTTCTCAATCCAATTTTCCGCATACGCCGCTCTCTCTGCTGATTCTCCCTCACCTTCCCCTTCTCTTCCTCCCCAACCGCCTCCCAACGAAATCTCTCCGCCGCCTGCCGCCGCCTCCTCATCCGCACCCTCGCCTTCCCCCTCATCCATCTCCTCCCCTCCGGCGCCACCGCCCTCAGATCCCGCTCCGAACTCACCTTCTCCTTCTCCTTCTCCTGCGCAGAAGAAGTCTCCATCACCGGCGCCGAACGTCGCCGGAGACACTAGCAACGAGGATCAGATCAGTGCGGGTAATTTAGAGTCGGAGAAGGAGTCCTCCGGTGGGATGAGCGGCGGACAGAAGGCCGGCGTAGCAGTCGGAGTTATCGCTGGAGCGTGCATAGTAGGCGCCGGCGCGTTGCTGTACAAGAAGCGGCAGCAGAACATCCAGCGGTCGCAGTATGGGTACGCCGCCAGGAGGGAGATTCTGTAGATTTTTTTTCTCTACCCGTATAAACTCTCTGTATCTATATCTATATATATAGTACACGTATACTCAAATCAAAGTGCTTGATTTATAATTCAGCATTATTCTTCCATAGATGTACCTGTGCTTGTACTCGAGTGATTTTCTTAATTCTTTGATGCTTAATAAATAATGAGTTGTTACTTCATTATTGTAGTATATTTGATCGCATATTTTAATTTCCATCTTTCTCCTATATTTAGTCTCATAATTTTAGTATATTTCTCACATTGTTTATTTGAATCGAACATTTCTGCTTAAAAAAAAAGATATGATTCATTCAAAGACTTACATAAATTACACATCAACACATGAAATTAAACCAAACCATGTCCTCAAACCTTACACAAATCTTACAGTAGTTACAGACTGTAACCAAATAAGCAAAGAACAAGAGTTTTAATTATTTATCTAAACCACCACCCACCACAGTGACCAACAAGGAATATTCCTCACAGCCTTCTTCTCGGACGAACTCGCAGATGCAAGTGTCGTCCAAGTTGATTCCGTTCACATTACAGAGGTTTCTCCACCCTTTCGTGCACCACAGCCGCCCGTCTTTCCATTTTATCATCTTCGATTTCCATTTATTCCCTCTTTCGTCCACCAGGAACATCGTCCCCGAAATCTTCAAACCATAGTCCACTATCACATCTTTCGGAATGTACTGGCATGCATTTTAAATCATGAGATTATATACATTAATTAGTGTACACGTATAATTAATAACGTAAATAAATATATAGAGAACTATACCAACTCATTCTTCCTTCGTGCAACCCTTGATCTCGACACGAAATAAGGATTTTTGGGAACCGAAGCCAGGCCCGATCGGAAGATATCAGCACCGTAACAGTCGGGAAGATCCTTCTTCTTGAAGATTCTCTCACACGGTATATTTCCGTTTCCAGCTGAAATTGATTATAAAGAGAGAAGGAGCACAATGTATGAAACAAAACAAATGTAAGAACATTAGAAAGAAAGCAAAAATTAGAAGTGATATTAATATATTACACGTATTGCCTCTGGTCGAGTTTGTAGAAGATTTCGATTTCGATTTCGACTTGGCGTTAATCGTCTTGGAAGTCGTCCTTAACTGCTCCACATCATCTTCATCACTTGCATCCTCATCCATATGCATATGGCCTTCACCTATATATGTGGAATAATAATAAAGAATAAAACATATTAACAATATTCAAGAATAGTAGTAGAAAAATCCACAATTACTTACATGTGTTAGGTGCACAGGGTGGATAAGCTGGTTTTGATTTATTCTTAAGCTTGGCTGCCTTTTCCAAATTAGTATTAACTAACTCCTCTTCTTCTTCTTCGCCTTCCTCTGGCACATAGTCATCGTCGTCATCACTATCATCATGTATGACATCATCACCAACATCACGTATGACATCATCATCATCATCACCATCATCTACATCCATGGATGCATCATCATATTCCTCCTTCACAACCTTATGCTCGATTAACTTTGGAGCTCCAACATCATCATGTATGCCATCATCATCACCGTCGTCATAGTACTCCTGCTTCACGGCATGATGCGTGTTTGCCTTTAGAGCCCCCACACCTTTCTTTTGGCAAGCGTTACTTCCAAATATTTGAAAATCGAACAATTTGTTAGCCCTATACTCGAACACCATCAAATCCCCCACCTCCAAAGAATTCTCTATATAAAATTGCCTCCACCCCTCACTAAAATAACAGTACTCGTATTCCCCATCTATAACCACCTCCATCTCCCACGAATTTTCGTACACATCTCTGAGAATTACCCGATCTCCTAAAACTCCTCGCGTTTCCAAAGCAAACGGTGCCGGAATACGCTGCCCATAAAAAAAAAATTAAAAAAAGTAATTAAACATACAACTTCAAGTAGCTAGCTAGATGAGATCTATTAATTAGTTTTACGAGATCAACTGAAAAGAGATAAATTGAGAGATCGAAGAAAATGTACGAATTTTCGGGAACTCGAAATGAAATTGAAGAAGGCGTGATGAGAATTCATGTCTGGTTAATTTCCAACCCCTCTGCGTTCAAAAAAGTGAGAC